TTTGAGGGTGAGGAGGGGCATCCCCCGTGCCGTGCCCAGCGCTCGGCATCCCCAGCCCACGGCTGGGCGGAGGCGAGCGGCGACCTCAGCGATTTCAAAATCAACCTCTGCCGTGGCATCTGGCCCTGTGGCCACCTCCTGGATGTCCCCTGCTGTCCCCAGGGCTGTCCCCTTGCCACCGCTGCCCCGGGCACAGGCTGAGTGATGCTGACACGTGCACGGCGGCCTCGGCGCTCCGGGGCTCACTTAATAAGGCCACGGCATGCATTATTTTATTAATGAGCTATTAAAAAGCCGTTCATGGGGATGCTCTGCATTCCCGGAGAGGTATCCAAGACATCTGTACCGAGCAGTGGCTGCTCACCCGGTGCTGGCTCTTAGGATGGATGTGGGGACACCGCGCTGCTGGGGTGGCACCGTGCACCCCCAGAGATGCCAGCCTGTCCTCACCATACTCCAGCGCACCAGAATGAGCTCCGAGGGGTTTTGTAGCCCCGTTTGGAGTTGTTTGGTGGCTCCACGCCCAAGCTGTGCTTGGCCAGCTCGTGGAGGGGTGAGCAGAGGGTGCAGGGGGGTGACTGCAGGGCTGGGTCTCTGCTCTGGTGCTTTTGGGGTGAATCCTCGCTCTGTGCTCAGAATCCCCAACCTGGGGCCTCACTGGCACACCAAGGGGTCCCCTGTAACCCCGCAAGGTGCCAGATGGGGACAGGGACCCGGTGGGGACATGAACCACATGGGGTAAGTGGGATGCTGCTCTCACAGAAGCCGGGCTCAGGGCAGGCTGCTGACCCCCGGCTCAGCTCCCCTGGGTAAGCCTCTGTCCGTGTGTCCGTCTGTCTGTCTGTCCGCAGGGCAAATGCCATAGGATGACCGCTGCTGGTCCCCTCTTACTGGCTGTGATATCGTCTGTCCTGTGGCTCACGCGGGGCTTCGACCCCGCTCCCAGCGCCTGCTCCGCCCTGGCCTCGGGCGTCCTCTACGGCTCCTTCTCCCTCAAGGACCTGTTCCCCACCATCTCCTCCGGCTGCTCCTGGACCCTGGAGAACCCCGACCCCACCAAGTACTCGCTCTACCTCCGCTTCAACCGGGAGGAGCAGGTGTGCACGCACTTCTCGCCCATGGTGCTGCCGCTCGACCACTACCTGGCCAACTACACCTGCGACCCGCGGGGCGAGGCCAGCCCCGCGCCCGCCCGCCAGCGCCCCGAGCAGCAGCAGGAGGAGGAGGAGGACGAGGAAGCCGAGCTGGAGCTGTGCGAAGGCGCGGGACCCTTCACCTTCCTGCACTTCGACAAGAACTTCGTGCAGCTCTGCCTGGCGGCCGAGCCCGAGGCGGCGCCGCGGCTGCTGGAGCCGCAAGCGCTGGAATTCCGCTTCGTGGAGGTGCTGCTCATCAACAACAACAACTCCAGCCAGTTCACCTGCAGCGTGCTGTGCCGCTGGCTCGAGGAGTGCCTGCAGGCTCCCGGTGCCCGCCGCTGCGGCTTCACCCACGCCGGCTGCAGCTGCCAGGCCGAGAGCGCTCCGGTGCCCCGGCGCAACGGCACCCGGCCCCCGGCGCCCGCGCCCACGCCGGTACCCGCAGCCCCCGACTGCTGCCCCACCGAGCTGCATTCCGCCGATGCCAACGAGCTCGAGCTGCCCGAGGTGCCCCGCGGTGAGTGGGCAGCGGGGATGGACCCGCTGGGGTCGCTGGGTGCTGTTCGTGCTCGTGGGTTGTGCCTGTGCGTGGTGCACGGGGAATGGGGATGGTGGGGACGGGGCAGAGGAGGGATCAGGCTTGTGAGAGCTCTGTGGGACTGGAAAGTGCCAGCTGGG